AATTATGGAAGGCATTGGAGCTTGGCTTTAAGTGTAAGTTAAGAAGAAAACAGCATGCATTAAGAAAAGGGGACAGGAGGGATAGAAGAACGGGGTGGACATGGGCAGCTTATGAAGGAGCTCCATTAACAAATCCAAATGGCTTGGACATATGCTGCACTGCCTGGCCACTAGCTGACACTCTCCCTCCATAAAAACATAACACAGCATTATTTTCCAGGCAATAAAACCTCAGAAATGAATTCTGCCATATGTGAGCAAGGCTCCCCTCGTGCAGAGCCCTCAAGCCTGGGAAATGGAAATGAACACCACATCTTCAAAGAGAGTTCTTGGTAAATATTCTACCGGTTTTACAACCTCTATCCTCAACACAAACCACTGGAGAACACATTTTCTCAGCGTTGCCCAGTTTTACCGTTCGATGGCCTTGCTTCTCACACAGCCTTTGGAGGACTGAACCTCACTTCCACTGTGCCTTTCAAGGGATAGGAGACAGGAGGGCAGGGAGAATGGGGGCAGCAGTCTCCTTACCTGGAGCCATTCACCTGGCTAGGGTTACATTCCATCTTGATGGTGACTCTGGCTGGAGGTTGAGACAGCCAGTCCTGCTGAGGGACACGTGGGCTCATCTTGGATGTCTGTCCATAGTCGCTGGAGGAGGAGGCAGTCATCTCCGTCTTGGCCAGGTGTGGTGTTCCGTAGGCGCACTCAAACAAGGACTGATCCTCACTCACAACTGATAACGCTTCCTGAATGCCCAAAGAAACACATATTCAGGACACTCCAATGACAGTCATGTTTTTAAAAGTTGCTAACTTCAGAGTCATTTCTAAATGTGACCAGATTTTAGGTAGTTTTTATGGCATCCATTTCTACCTTTCAGAAGAAAAAAGTACCTTGTTTTCTTCCTTCCAGACCATAAGAGTTGGAACTGGCCGGCCTAGAAAAACTTTTATGCAGGTCTCAAAGCATACCAGGCTTGACTGCAACAGGGCAGTTAATACCCACTTTAATCTCAACTCAAGGAAGTTGAATTTCAAAGGTTTTAGAAGACATCCAATTGCATATGTCATTATTTGACAAATGCAATCTATAATTCAAGCAGATGGGGTACAGAACGGTCATGAAGATTAAAAAAGGAAACGTGAAGGCTAGCACCTACGCATCTGGCAAAATTGCCACATTCCCAGGAGATTCTGAGGAAGAGGCACTTAGAAGAAGAGAGCACGGGAAATGGAGTGCCAAAGGACAAGCAGACAGAGACACGAATTTTTCCACTCTAAGTTATTAGCTGAAATAGAGCTTCAAATGGTGCTTCCATGATGGCAAACATCTGGATGATAAATGAACCAAAAAAAAAAAAAAAAAAAAAAAGCTGAAAATTACCCAGACCCCCCCAAACACCAGGTTT